CTGGATAGGTTGGATGGATAAATCACGAAGCCAACTTCCTGCATATCTTTATACTACTGCGCATATCAGCAAACGAATAATCGATAAATATTATTCACTGACACAACCATTATAGATATTTGCAACCACGAGGAATGGAGAAATGTATTGATTAATATCGATTTCTTGTGTAGTCCGTATACACAACATAAAAACTACACACACACACACACACACACACATATATATATATATATATATATATATATATATATATATATATATATATTTATATGAGTGTGTGTGTGTGTGTTTCTTATCATTTTTAAGTGTGTATTATCATTTCCTCAAACCTGTTTATTCTACAAAATGTATGTCAACGTTGAAAATGAATATAACAGCCTTTTTTCTTCTGTTAAGGAAATAGGCTCATTCTTGTAAATTTTAAATACGAAGTAACTGTCAACATTTCAGAAGACGACAATCTCGCAATGAGTGTGGTTAACGGATAAAGCAACGAGAACAGCATGCCGTTTCATCTACTGAGCCAAATCTTCCATAGCGGGTCTGAAAAGGAACTATGTTTAAATTTGATGTTATTTTTTTTTTTACCATTCAGTGAAGGAATATTACTTTGAAGAGGGTATAATAAAAGACATTTGGACACTTATAAAATATGTAATATACTTTCGAAATGAAAATTTTATTTTCTGAGGCAGCTTCATGATTCCATCCTCCCAAAACCTAGCATCTTTATCAGTGAAGAACTACCCTAAGAGATTTTTACAGGCTCCAGAGAATTGAATTACTACCCATTAAAATGGATTTTGTAGGGATATAAAGTGATAATCCAAAGTCAGGTAAGTACAGTCGGTGGGACATATCATCAACACCAATATGTATCGAGTATCCTCTGGAAGATAAATTTCTTCAAAAGAGGGGCTCAGCTATTTGGATGAATTCCTCACGTGAGCAATTTAGAGAAACCTAATAATTTTCTTGAATTACGTTATTTAGTCCAACTTTAACGCAATATCAGCCACAACCTAACTTGTCATGTATGGAGGAAATATGGATGCACCTAGGATCAAAAAACACATCTCTACAGTAAAGTGCCGCGATGAAAGTTTCATGGTTTAGCCGTATTTCTCTTTTAATTGTATTGTGCACTTTATGTGATTTGGAGGAACCATAAAAGGCAATATATCTAATTTTGTTTAATGTAGAAGTTTATTTTGTTTTTATTCAATGGAAGAATACGAGTTTTAAGTGAGAGTAATAAGAGACAGGACCGCTGTCTTAAAATTTAAATTTTAAAATCTTTTTCCTAAAACTATATTCCAGGAAAAATAGTCCAGTAACTGTTATTGGTCTTTCCAGTACTAATAGGCGTTTTCTTTCTAACCTTTTATTTGAAGTGGAGTGGAATGTTAACATCTTAACTATGTCATTATTTTGCGTACAATATGGTATGGTGCCCTTTATATAAGAGGGACTATGTTTAATTTTGTGTAATTTGGAATCTTTTTTCTTCCATTCCATGAAAGAATGATTTTGAAATGGGGTTAATAAGAGACATTTGGACATTTGCAAAATATATAGCATTCATCCGAAATTTTATTTACATTATTCGGACTATTATCATCTTTGTCGCCATATTTATCACAACGTTTCGGCCGATGTACACTCCGGCCTTCTTCATGTGGTTGGAATGTCGAACTGAACCCTTTATTTCGCTCACTGGGGTAGACTGTTCTAGTTCCACGTGCCATGTTTAATGGATGTCAATTATCAGTTATCTCCTGTTAATTCCCCTCTGAAAGTTCTCCACTGCCTTAACCGGGTATTGAACTCACACTCTTTGGGTCCTGTCAGTGGATTTAACCAACGCCTTTATCCACTGTGCCATGTGTCCTTGAGGACATAAATAAATAAAGGGAAATAAAGGCTCATGCGCGTTGTTTGTTTTTGATTTTGTCGACTACACAGTATAGAAGGGTCAGTTGGGGTATCGTCTGTGAGAAAAAGAATACCATGACATAATTCACTCCTCCAGAAATTTGAAAACGACATAATGAATGCAATGAACTTGACTAGAATTCGAACGCGGCTCTCTGATTCCTCAATCCGAGCCGCAATCTATTACTCTGCTGTGCCGTGCCTTCTTTTGGTTACAATAATATTACTTTTCTCTACAAAATATATATATATATATACAAAGACAGGTTTAGTTAAATACTTTAGGCATATTCTGTCTACTTATTCTCGATAGGATCCTAAATACTTACTCTATAATTAACAATACACTGATGATGACATTATCCTATGTCGAAAGTACTCGTCTATGGCTTTTACTGAAGCCATAGACAAGTTTTACTGAATAAATTTACTCTTTAGTATTTCAAGATATCTTTGTGTCATTTTGGTAAATATATCAGTTAAAATAAGATGTGAATGTTATTTTCCTTTTTGAATCATAAACACTACAATTTATACATCTGTTAAAATGGGTGCCAGTCTTACTTTCATTTTTTGCGTCATTTAGACGATAGTTTATCCATCGGACCCTGTATAACTTGTTAGAATGAGATGTCAGTGTTATTTTCCGTTTTTGTCGACGACAATTTATCCATCGCATCCTGGATATCCTGTTAAAATGAGATGCCAGTGTTATTTTTATTATTGCGTCATTTCGACGACAATTTATCCATCGCATCCTGTATATCTTGTCAGAATGAGATGTCTGTTATTTTCGGGTCATTTCGACGACAATTTATCCATCGCATCCTGTATATCTTGTTAGAATGGGGGCAGTCTTACTTTCCTTTTTTTTTTTTTGCGTCATTTAGACGACAATTTATCCATCGGACCGTGTATATCTTGTTAGAATCAGATGTCAGTGTTATTTTCCGTTTTTGCCTCGTTTCGACGACAATTTATCCATCGCGTCCTGTACACGTGTTAAAATGAGATGTCGGTGTTATTTTCCTTTTCGAGTCATTTGTACGACAATTCATCCATCGCACGCTGTATATCTTGTTAGGATGAGATGTCAGTGCTATTTTTCTTCCTGCCTCATTTAGACGACAATTTATCGATCGCATCCGGCATACGTGTTGGAAAGGGTGTAAAGTTGGACGAGAAACGACGGAATGGTAAAAATATGAGACGATTTGGAAAGATAGAACTTTGATATGTTTCCCCAATGAACCGACTTTGTCCGGAAAAGAACTCTTATGAAATAACATGCCTTCTTTTTTTTTATGATGGTGTCAATTCATCTGCGAAACATATTAAATTCGAGGTTTTCCAATTTGGCTTATATAATTACCATAAATGTGTATGTATATGTGTGTGTGTGTACGTTTGGGAGCGTCTGTGTTCGTTTGTTTGTTTGTGTACGCCAGTTGTGTGGATGTACTTACATGATAAATTGATACGTATTTATGCGTATCGACAAATTTGGCTGGCGAGAAAATTACTTAAACGAATGTTTGTCATCATCTCTGTGTGGGTGTATCAATGCGAGTATATATATATATATATGTGTGTGTGTGTGTGTGTGTGTGTGTACACGCACATGTGTATGCATGGACACATTCGCGTGATCGACCTTTATCTATATAAAAATAAATAAATGAATAAAACAATACAACAAAACAAGTTTGAAAACTTGAACGATGGAATTTGCCACTTTGGAGATGCCACGTACCAAAGAGAAAACAAGGAAACAAAAAAAAACCCTTTAACTCGATTTCTTCCCAAAAGACCAAATTCTCCAACTGTGTTACTATTTATCTTTCAGCCATTCTTTCTCTTTGTCTCTTTGTCGCTCTTTCCCCCTCTCTCTCTCTCTCTCTCTCTCTCTATATATATATATATATATATATATAGCTTTATTCCTCTTTCGCTTCTTTCATGTTTTGCACACATTAACCCCCGTCCAGCTGCAAAAGTGGCCACAAGCATCAAGCAGCTCGCTCGAGACATAAGGATATTAACCTTGTGCCTCGTGGAAATAAAAGACACAAGTGGTCATGTAAGAAGTAGCTTAATCAGGCTCTCTGTCCCCAAAGGCTGTGCGCCGTTATACCCGTCCCTCTACCCACCTCCATGCACAAACAAAATTGCACGTGACCATGCCCACCCCCAAAAAACTTTGGATATGTTTGGTTAATTTATATATTTTATTCAATGTTCTTTTCCACTATCATTTTTTTCTCTCTCGCTTTTTGGCTTGCAGTCAATGTATCGTTTCGCGTAGGAGAGATGATCACGCGGGGTCTGCAAGCAAATGACGAGTAAAAAAAAAATGATAAAGAAATAAAACCACTGAAAGCGAGAATATTTGTAGAAATTGGTAATGTGATATGTTGTTCAGAGTGTAATGTCGAAAAATTTGGAAACGCGTTGAAAAAGACAGACGTTCAAATAGCGAAAACGTTGAAGTTATTTCATTTTATCTTGATAATTATCATTAATATTATTTTGATTGATTGGGTTTGATTTAAAAACTTTCCAAGTCGACAGATGATTAAAAGAAACAGAACAGAGACTTGAGTCGTACGACCAAGAATCGAACTAAATTTAATTCGTTCCTGATGCCCGTTCGTAACACGAAATGTTCGTAAACTGAAACTATTCTTCCAATACGAATCAATGAAAAATGTATTAATCCGTTCCTGGTCCCAAGATGACTGCTTATTTAAGCTTTTACAACAGTATTTTATGGACAAGCTTCTACACAAAAACTAATGAAAATCATTAAATCTAAGAAAAAAAAAAAAACTCAATCCTAAGATAAAATATAAATGAAAACTTTAATTTTACCGTATCTGTAAGTAGGAGAATTGGTGACGTAAGTGGAAGGAAAGAGATGTTATTGTTTGGAAAAGGGAAAAGAAAAACATGATCGTCTGTTTATTTACAAGAATAGTAGAGATTGATGATTTTGTCATACTAAACTGAGTAAGAAGAGACAATATCATCAACAATTGTTTTTCTAACTTTTCTTTTTTCCT